TTTTTTTTTTTTTTTTTTTTTTCCTAGCCATCCATCAAAAACTAGAAGCGGATGGAACGGAAAAAGTGGAAGGATCCATGACGCAGAAACTGGAGAATGTTCTGAACAGTAAGCTTGTCTCTCCATCCACGACTGTTAATGGGCTCTATAACCAGCTTTAAATGTGGCCCTTGGGCCTGATTTCACAGGACGGCGTTGAGTCGCCTCTCCACAGTCACTTCTGAATGGCATTGATTTAATGAACATAAAGGGGAATAGAAATGTTGAAAATGAGTTCTTTTTCTGTTTGCATTTTATTTATGAGAAATCCTAATTTGAAAACAAAAAGCCATTCTGTTTCTTCAGAGTTAGAATTTGCTCCCCTAAGTGAGCGATCCACATTTATGAGCATGCAGGGCACGTCACCCCGGCTTCCAGATGGACACATGCTCAGGACTTGCATTTTGCCAGAAAGAATTTAAAGCCACTGTCTTAGAGCATGTCTGACTTGAGAGAGCTAGTAAAAACTGGATTCAGGAGAAACAGATACATACAAGGATGGGGCCCATCTTCTTTACCTTTTAGTTCTTTTTCTGGCATTCTGTGTCCCTAGTTATTTATCCCACTGATTTAAGAAGAAGCTCATCAGATCCACTAATCCTTATGATAATATTAGTGGCTTAAAATAAGTTACTTGGTTTCATCCTTGTAGTTAGCTTTTGGTGTGAAGCAGTAAAGCCAACGGGAGGCTCCTCGTTTTCAAATACAGTGTAACATGATTTCTTACAACTAAAGGCTAACAAAAAAGCTAAGAGTCCTCATGTTAAATCTTGAAAGATTCTGAGAATACAGGACTGTGGTGTGAAGCTAATTTTATACTTCTAGCTTAATTTAGTCCATTGAGCAGAACTTTCTGAGCCTTTATGTAAACATTGTTCACAAAACCTCCTAATAAGAAAGCATTTTGTAGAATGAAGCCTTAATTTGCTATAGGCTTTCTTTGATAGTAGAATTTTTTTAAATTTGTTTTATTCTAAAGCTGTGAATTCAACAGCACTTAAATTTTTTTTCCTCTGATTACTACTGCAATTGTTATTATTTGCTTTGAGATTTTTTTGCCTTTCTTTGTGTCTGAGAACCAAGTCACCAACTTTGGGGAAATGAATATATTCAGAATTCCACCCAGAATTATCGAAGGGTATTTCTGTTAGAGCAGTCAGTCATTTTAAGGTTTTAAAAGGATATTTTCTACTCCAGGGTGTTATCACTGTTGAAGCTGTCTTTAAACAATGATATAGATGCAAAAACTGACATTACTTGAGTAACTTTTAGAAGGTGAGAATAGCTGACATGGTGAATGTATCCTTGAGGCAGTGAAGGAGGGATTTACCAGCTTCTGGAAACCTTAAGATGCCTTCATGGGTTAGACCCAGCATCGTGTGGTAACTTTTTTTTTTTTTTTTTCCCCTTTTAAGGTGTAATTTGGGAAATCTTTTCGTGAGAATTATGGTATAAGATTATAAGAAAAATCATTTTAAATGTGTTTATACTTAGCTAAATTTGTTCTAGAAATGTGTCATGTTAACTTTGTATTGAAATTTGCTATTTTTGGATAAAGCTGGGCTTGACTGACATAAATGGTTATTTCTTTACGAAACCCTCAGGACTTTTTAATATAAAGGTTTTCCTTAAAATATAATTTTTTCTAACAGTCCTCTTTTTTCTGGAAACATTCTTTATCCCCATGGTGCTAATGCTTGCTCCCTTAGAATAAGGCTTTGCTAATTCGGGGCAGCTTAACAGACTTTCCTTAATGTAAGACGTTTAAAGTCCCAGGTCAAACCAGGGAGATGGGCCAGAAGAGACATGGCTCCCCAAGGCAGGTGACCCTTCCAGGAGGGCCTGTCGATGTCATCCATGCGTGCCAGGAGTCAGATGGGGTGAAGACACAGGGAACTGATACGCAGAGAAGTAGTCACAGGAGACTACTGAACATCTAGTGTTACTTCCTTTTGAAGTCATAAATGAGTATGACTATAATTTGCTTAAATCATAACTAAGGAGGCTTTAATTTTGTATAAGAATATAGTAATTTATTTATTTATTTTTTTTTTTGAGAAAGGGTCTCTATTAGAGTTCAGGCTGGCCTCAAACTCTCATGTAGCGCAGGCTGTCCTTGAACTCATGGTGGTCCTCCTGCCTCAGCCTCCCAAGTGCTAGGATTGCATGTGTGTGCCCCCAAACCTGGCAAGAATATAGTAATCTAAATGGAGCTTTCCTTTGTTTTTTAAATAAGAATTTTTTTGTTGCTTTTGGTTTTTAGTTTTAGGCAGTCTTTCTGACTTTCAGCTGTTTCTAAGGTATAATAATATTGGCCACAAAAAACCTTGCCTGTTTTGTTTAGTGTTTATGAATGTTGACACCTTTTAGAATTACTCTTTTGGTTATTAATTGACATATTTCTAATGTTTGCCCCTGAAAACTTAGCCACTAAAGACTGTTAATTTCTTTACCTCACCTTGTCATATCCAGTCCCATGTTCTTAATTACCCTAAAAGCACAGACCGGCATGGTGCATCGGGTGAGTCCTGTAGTGATGGCCCCACTGTGGAGCACGTCAGGTGTGCCTGGGATGACTGAGATCCCACATAAAGTGGTGAAGGTTCATTTTGGCACATGGTTTGGGGGCTCAGGCCACGGTCCCCGGGTGCTGTTGCCTTTGGGCAACATGGCAGACAGAGCTCTTAGCAGGGAGTGCCTGGAGGAACTCAGCTGCCCATCTGCAGACATGGAGCCAGGGGTCCCAGGTCCCCCGAGGCCTCACCCAGTGCCTTAACTTCATCACTTTACACAGAAGTGGTCCAGGCACTGCCTGCCATTGTGTTGGACAGTGTGGGTGCTGGTCCATAGCCTCTGCTCTCTGGTGGCTCCTGGTGACTCAAGCCATGGGGGTCCTGGCGGAAGTGGGTGATCTAAGTGGGGAGATTGGCCTGAAAGATAGGTGCATTGGAATCACACACTGATAGCACTGGAAGCGAGGTCCACGCCCAACACCGTGGGGCTGCAGAGTGAGGCTGCCAGTGGGCACGTCACCCTGCTGCTGTGGGGGACTCAGTGACAGTGCCCTCACAGCACAAAGAAGGGCCGTGTCTGTGACGAAGGGGACGTTCTGGGAAGCCCTGCGAACTGCACCCTAGAGAGAGATGATAGATACCCACAGGGCTGGGAGTGCGGTGAGGCGGAGTGGCTACAGATTCTCCCGTCTGGATGGGTCTGCAGCTCATTCACCCGCTGGGAGTCCCACACAGCCCTTGACGCTCCATCTCGGCTGCACAGTGCCACTGCTGAGCTGCTGTGGACCCTCGCATCGGTGGTGCCGATGGGTGTCAGCTTCCCGGCCACCCAGCACCTTAGAGGTAGCAGACTGCATGGTGCCAGCCTGGGAAATCGCCAAAGTCAGAGCCTGACCTATGGCTTCCACCAAATGTGTTTTGCACCATGACAAATGGAAAAATTGTAAGGGGAATCATTCTAAGTTGAGGACCATCTATTATATTGCTGTTAGTCATCGAGATCATTTTGCTGGGTTTCAGACTGTGCAGCCCATGTTGGATCCCATGTGGTGCGGGATGAGGCCATCCTGTCCTGGCCTGTGCTGTCCTGTTCTGCCTCTCTGGAGAAAAGAACGCTGGACATTGGCTCCAAGACTGATTTTCAGTGTTTATTGAACACACCTTTGATTTTTCTTGGAATGTAAAGTTAAAACTTGTGTTTGTTTTTAAGAGTTTATAACTCCTTGGAAAATACAGACACAGAAGCAGGTGATTGAGTTGTGTGCTTTTACTCTGCTGATAGTAATTCTGGGCTGCTGCTGGAGCACACACACGGCAACCTGACTGAAAAGCGGAGCATGTAAGGGTGTGACTCACTGGGGAGAGGCTCGCCTGGCTTGTGTGAAGTCTTGGATTCTGTCTCTAGCACCAAAATAACATCGAGAACAGGTGGAGTGGAGCTGCTGTCTTAGAGGTCATATGTGCCTTGAAAGGGTAGCAGGAAGTGACCAGTGGAGTGGACTGGCAGCTGGGCAGCTGGAAAGATCCATGTGTGTCCTGGCAGGGGCAGCTGCAGGAAGGGGAGGCAGCCTAGGAAGCAGGACCTAGAATGGCAAAGCTGCAGGGGAGACAGGCTCTGCTCATGCCATTGTGTGGAGTGGGCCTCTGTCTTGAAGACACTTGGAAATCCTTGGAGGTCAGTTGGGGGTGTCTGATCGTGGTATTCTCAAAGCACACTCTGCCATCTGACAGGTGGTGGCTCAGAGCAGGCAGCACGGGGGGAGGAAGAACCTGGCAGGGTATGTGGATTGCAGGCATGTGAAAGCTGCGGGGTAGAGCCAGCAGGCAGAGGGTGTGGCTGGAGAGACTGGGGAGAAGGGGTGGTGGCAGTTGCTACTGTGGAGTAGGCAAAGGAAATGATCAGTGGGGCTTCCACACCTGGCTGCACATGCAGGAAGGAGGAGCAAGTTTAGAGCAAGAAGAGGTGAGCAGAGGGGAGAAGTTCAGCTCAATCATACCATGTCCAGTCTGATTCCTGAGGCCAAATCAGTGAGCCCCTCGCTGGCTCTCACGGCCTCCTGTAAGGCGTACGTAGCCTGTGTGTCTGAGCCAGTGTGCGGGAGTGACGCCTGTGAAGTAGGATTGCGCCGGGCATGGAGCGGCACTCAGTAACCTCGCATCCTTACCACACCCAGTGAAAAGACTCTGGAAGATTAGTTTAAACTCACAGGCATATCTTGAAATGTGGATTTGAGAGTCAATATTGGGTTGTAATTGAAGGACTAGGATTGAGTTTAACCCAAGTACCATGTGTAAAATTTAAAGAATAAGATCAAGGACTTAGAACACTAAGGAACATCAGTGGGAGTCAGTTCTGTGAAAAAGAAGATGATGCCACCTCAGTGGTTGCAGGTAAATATTTGACAAGTGGCAATGATGACAGAAAAGAAGAAAGGGAAACCAGCCATAAGCTTAACCTTCTCTGGAGGTGCCATGAGCTTGCGGTTGGCTGTGTGCACACGGTGCTGACCTCAACTCTGTTCTTATGCTGTGATTCTGACTCCTTGTTGCCTGGGAAGCCGTGGGATCCCAGTGTCAGACATGGTGTTGAAATCGGCATTGAGTACTGTTTACAGCACTGTTTCTCCTTATACCGTTACGTGACTGCCGGTGGCCTGCCTGTCAGTTTCTAGAATCTGCGTTGAATCTGAGACACAGAGCAGGTTGGTAGGGCCCTTTGTGGTCCTGATTTTGCCACAAGTGTGAGTACACATTTTAGAGTTACCTGAATTTTCCAGGTGCTCTAATGTGTCATTTTCTGATTTCACCCAGTTTGCCTGTTTCTGGAGTAAATTGTGTGGGTGGGGTCTTCTATTCTGTCTCTGGCCACTGCGATTCCCGTGAAGCAGAGAGCACATATTAAAACTCACTTTTGTGATCTACAGTCTGAAGTGTCAGTACCAAGAAAGGGACCAGTGAAGTTACTTTGAAATAAGAAAAAGCGTAATGTCTGCTTTAAATTCCAAGGCCCGCCCGTTAGAATTATTGGCCTCGATTTCCTAGGTGACAGGAGTTCCTGGAACAACTGAATTCCTTTGTGTGTATTAGGACAGGTCAGTTCGTGTGAGGGATGGTTTAATATGTGATGCAGAAGTCACCTTTCTCCCTATGTTATATCACCATGTGGTGGCAGCTCGAGTGTGGTTCTGACAGCAGGGTTGTTAGCTCTTGGGTCCTGTGTGGCCAAGACAGTGACTGTCCCTATCCACATCCTCCAGCATTGACACTTCCCCAGTGAGGAGACGGGCCTGTTTCAGATCTAGGACCAGGACCTATTCTGCAGCTTTGAGCCAAAGTCTCGGCTCCCGTGACCTCCTGCTGCAGCTGTATTTGTCCGGTGGTCACACACCAGGCGTTCTGACCCCCGCCAGTGCCTTCGGATTAGACGTGTGGCATGGTGCACACAGGATCAATGCGGGTGGCTTTGTGGGTGCCCTGCCAGGGCCTCTCTGCATCTCTGCCCTGCATAGGCAGAGTGCCCCTTTGTGCAGCGGTTGTGCTCTTATTTGCAGCCCCGGAGAAGAAGGATATCCAGTGCATTATGTGGGCTGCTGGTGATGGTTTTCTGCTGTACAGATCTTGCTGTCTCTGCCCTCCTGCATTTTCTTCTAGTTATCAGAGTCATGAATACAGTAAGATGCAGAACAAAAATAATTTACTGGCAGAAATTGTCAGCCTAATTTCTCAGTATTGCATAAATTAAAATCTTCATGTATAAAAGCATACATTTTGGTATAAATTAAATTCTGACGTTTATAATTTCTGCCTATAAATTTTGGTTTCATTTAATTGTAAGTATAATTCTTTGTACATCTTTTCACAGTTTTTAAAGGAGTTAAATTATTAATTGGTATTGTTTATCACATTAGAAATAAGGTAGTAAAAGTCTAATTTGGGCTTGTATGCTGTTCATCCTTTGTACAAAAAAAAAAAAATTTACTTGGTGATTTAATATCCAAACTCCTCAAAAGTAATTAACCTTTTAATGACATTCAATTCCATTCTCATATCTAATCATTTATGAAGCCCGAACTCATTAAGTTTGTATTTTTAAAATGATAAGCAAATACTTTAAAATAATTTTCCTTGACGAAAGTTTTAACCCTAATCCGATTTCAGATAGTCATTTTGCTCCACTGTGCAGTTTGGTGGCAAGAAGGAAATACATTTTTCCTCATCTTAGAATAGAAGTTTAATGTTCTACATTAAACAGCATGTGGTGAAAACAGTTATCTTGACCAAACAAAGTTTTTATATCAGGTCTTTAAAATTTCAACAGAACTTAAACATTATTTAGATAAAACAGTCATGTTACAAGGACGACTTTTACCAGGATCGGGCCACCCACAGTGTGGGCTGGAGGACATGGCAGGCAGCCACCCAGAGAGGCTGAGGTAATTTTCTCATCTCTGCTTAAAGTACGGTCAGTAGACCAGATAATGGAGAGACTTTCTCAGGCAGCGATCAAACAGTTGAAAACAGTTTATCCTTTTCTCCTCTTTCCTTGAGTCTAATTGAAAATAATCCACGAGTTACAAAATCTAAGCTATTTTTGTGCCTAGCAAATTTTCTTTAGATAAAGCAGTGCTTTCATTATAGTGAACTATATCATGTGAAGTCGTCTAGGTGAAAGAAGGAACCCTTATGAAATGTTCTGTTTATGTATCATTTTATAAGAATTAGCTGACTTGAGAAATATTGATGATGCAATGTTAAATTTGTCATTTTCAATTGTTTATGCGATTTTCTGTGCCCTAAATATAAGGAGATAATTCTGTAAAGAAAAAAGATTGTTTTTAAAGTATGTCTTTTGAACAACTTTTCTGAAAGCTGTTTTACTTGTTTTGTCACCCTGTGTGTTGTCAACCTTGAATCTGTTGGATTTCACTTGTGCATGAGTGTGCACATAGGCATGTGTGTGTGTGTGTGCATGTGCGTGTGTTTGTTCTTACTGTCTGAAGTAATGAAATAAACTAAGGGCCCATAATTGCCATAATATTTAGAAGCATAACCAAAATAAATGTTGGTTCATGTTGAAGAATTTTTGGGGCACGGTAAGTATGGTTGTTTTAATTGAATACCATTCTTAGCATATGAAAAGACTTAGTGGGCAAAATGAAAATTTTATTTTCCCAAACCATAAAAGATCTCCACTATATCTAACTTAAAAAAGAGAATTGTCTTTTGAGATGTAATGTAAAGGTACAGTGGAAGTCCCAACACTTTGTATCTAGTCCTCAGTAAGGTTTCTGATTAAAATTGGCTTTTATTTAAGTTTCTTTTTCTCCTCTTAAAATAGGAGCAAGTAATACTGCAGACACATTGTTTCAAGAAGTGTTAGGTCGAAAGGACAAGGCAGATTCCACAAGAAATGCACTCAATGTACTTCAGCGATTTAAGTTTCTCTTCAACCTTCCTCTAAATATTGAAAGGAATATTCAAAAGGTAGAATACTTATTTATGTACATTATAGATGTCAAAAAGTTTGAAGATTTGTTAAGATATTTTTTATATTAACCAAATGTCTCATTATGCTTGACTGACAGTATCCCACATGCTTCTTTATTTTAAAGGGTGATTATGATGTGGTTATTAATGATTATGAAAAGGCCAAATCTCTCTTTGGGAAAACGGAGGTGCAAGTTTTCAAGAAATGTAAGATTTGCTTATTACTTTCAGATCTTATACTTCCTTTTTATAGGAAGAACGTGGGATGTGGGCTGCAAACAGTGTTGTGTGCAGTTTAGAGTTTGTTTATTAGTGCTTTCTTTAAAATGTAAAACAATTACTTTAAAAATGTCATGGCTTTTCTTCCTGAGATCTAGTGAAAACGAGCAACTGTGATGGTAGGTTAGTCTCAGACATTTTTTTCTGTTTGTTAATCAACATGCTGTTTCTGAAGTTTTTCTTACTAGAAAGAAGTAACGTCAGGTATTTTCTAGACATGCAGACCTGCATTTCAGTCTCCTCTTACCAGAAAGACCAATACATTTGTGAATTTTAACCTTTAAAGCAACACCGACACCTTTTGAAATCATTTCTTATACCAGAGCTATGGGAAATAACACGAGCTTAAAATTCCCTGTGGTTAAAACCTTATCAACCAGGAGAAATAACATAGGGCTTATTAAATTCAAAAGTGAAACCATAAAGCCTCAGAAAACAGAATTTGTGACTTCTTTGTGGTAACTTCCCAAGCAGTAAAACACAGCCCTTGCGTGTTGAGGGTCAGCGGATGCTGACAGATGCACATGCCGGGTAGGTGTTTGGGGTCGTGGGTTGTGCTCACAGAGGCCCCTTATACTTCTCAGTCAGAAGGCAAACACTTCTGTTTTGTAAAATTTGACTTAAATTCCAGTTCTGTTAACTCTTGTGTATGTATTTTTTTAAAAAAATAGATTATGCCGAAGTAGAAACACGTATTGAAGCTTTACAAGAATTACTTCTTGATAAATTGCTTGAGACGCCATCAACCTTACATGATCAGAAACGTTACATAAGGTAAACGTGGGCAAGAATGTTAATGAATCCTGTATCTGCTGGTATGGGTTGTATCATGTGACCCTGAAAGTGATTTTGGGGATTTTGGGAATCTGATGAAGTGGAACAAAGCAGAAACTGAGAGGTATCTGTTGTGGAACACCAAAATTCTTCTGAATGCTGTTAAATTGGCAGGAGTTACGGAATAGGCACTTTTCAATGGCATGAAAATGCTGGCAGTTTGGCGAGAGGAAAAGTGGCCTCTTTGCTTGGTCCCCTGCTCTCTGGTGCAGCGGTCATCTCACCTTGTGGAATGCTGTGCCCTAGGAGGCCAGAGGTCGTGAAGAAGGGTCTCCACTGTCCTGCTCTGAACGGTCAGTTCTTGATGGCAAAGGAGTGTGCTGCGGCTCAACAGTGGGGACGGTTGTGGAAGGTTCTGTCCTCAGTTGTCCTACTTACAAGCCTTCGGTGATCAGTGGAAAAGGAGTAAAGTTACAAAGCAGAAACACTTAAACTGATGTAGCAGCGTTAATTTAAGATGTGGCCGTCACAGGGCACACAGAGAGAGCAGTGGCTGTGGTCTTGGGCATGCTGTGCATTGGGGAGGCTTCTCCACGTTCTCTCCCTTCGGTCTCTGCATCTGGCCAGAGCCTTGTTGGCACGGTCTGTGTCTCAGGGGACTGGCAGAGACATTTAAGGGCTTAACACAGCACCCAGCACATAATAAGTAGTCAGTAAATGTTTTATGTGTGTAGCTTGTGTCAGGATTTGGAGACAATATAATTCATAAGCCTTTCATATCATTGATTCAGAAATACTTTCTTTTCTTCTGGGCATCTTGATTACTGCTCTTGTTCTCCGAATAAGCTGTTATTTGTCAAATGTAAGGACTCTTTAGGAGTTAGCAAGGAGGATTGAGTATTCACAGTTAGAAGATGGCTGTGGTCATTGTGGTCATGGGAAGGTGGCCTGTGAGCTCCTGTGTTCCAGTAGTTGCAGGGCTGGGTCTGCACTGAGCTCAGCCTGGGATGGGGTAGGCAGGAGTGCGAGCCGCTGTCACTGGTCATGTCCTGGGGCTGCCCAGGTGGAAGGTGGGAGAACCTTCCTCTGCCAGGAGAGCAGAAAGTCCAGCTCTATTGCTTCTACCGCCAGGTTGGGCTGCACCTTCGCTAGCAGGGTGCATTCTGGCGTCTTCTCTCACGGAAGGGCCTTGTGCTGTCCGCAGCACACAGGTGACGATGGAAACTGCCCCATTTGTCCCCTTGGCTTTTCTCTTCACTGCCTCTATTAGCAGAGAATGCACGCAGAGGGCCTTTCTTGCTTGCAGCATTGTAGAAATTTAAATCTGGAAGTAAGCCACATGTTAGTGATCCAGCTGCTCTGTTTTCTACATAAAAGGAAGCAGAATCAGGGAAGGCCAGGTCCGCTGCACAGCAGGTGCCCTGATATCTGCTCCCTTCCTTCTCTGCCTCCCAGGCAGGGCTGCACAGGTTCACTTCACTGTTCTTTGTTATCCTCAGTTTTCCTGAACTTCACCACGTGTGCGTTTCTGCCATGGGTGAATTATGCTCATGGATAACAAGTGTGCAGTTCCCATGACCACATTGTCTCCTGGTGCCATTAAAAGTTTGTGTTGTCAGGAGAAGCGCTCTGAAGTGGCCCTTCCTGCTGTCTTTTCCCATCACTATAAATGGACAGTAACAGGAATGTCAGCAACAGCTCACTTATTTTTTATCATTTTCTTATTTTGATGGTTTGAGAAGACTTGGAGCAATTTGATTACCTTCTTAAATGAAAAATGTGAAACATTAATGAGTATTAGAATCAGATCAGAATCAGGTCACCTGTCTGTGGTGACAGATTTTGGATGCTGCGTGGGGATGAAGGTGCTTTCCTGTCCCCTCTGGAACAGCTGTGTTGGAGCTCTTGCTTAGTCCACACTGGGTGGTAGGCCTGAAAATGGGATGGCTGCTGCATTGTTCTATGCTTTTTTTTTCCGTGTGTGAAAACTCCCTGAGTATTTGCACTTGTCATTCTGCACGAAGCTGGTGGGGAACATCCAGCCTCAGCATGAAGCAGAGCTCCATCACCTCAACCTGTGTCATAATGGTCCCACTTCTCACACTTGGTCAAAATCACATCAGGGTATGGCCACCGACTTCATTCCTAAATTTGAAAATGTTGAGCTCATGTTCTTTGAAACTGACAATCTTTACCTTTTTCAGTCCAGAAAGCCTTTTAATTTTAAAAGAAACAGCAATAACATGTTGTCACGTTCTACACAGAGAACTTTGTAATGAAACACTTATTTTAAAACTTTATACTGAAAGAAAGAAAGAAACTCGGGAGAGCCTAGAACAAGCTGTTGTACTTTAGAATTGAAACATCCTCTAGAATTTCTGAGAGAATAACTAGCTTGATAAAATACTCCAACTCCTTTAATTTATTAATCATTGATAAGGGAAGATAAAGAAGATTATTATTAAATTTTGCAAGGACACAGTCAGCATACTAAAGAGACTTATACTCCAAAAGTTACTGAGGCAATAAGCATTTTGATTTTTCCTGCTGTACTGCCTGAGAAAGAGCCCTAGGCGTGACCACCCGCATTCCCATGTACCAGTTTAAAACTGGAGAGGAATCAGCTTCTCTAAGGAATACTCATTCCCCTGTTTTGCTACTGTCAAAGATCTAGAGGTTCTGCCAGTGGGAGTGTTTGGAGATGGTTCTGTGAAAGAGCAAGCTTGCCTAGAGGGATCGCTGAGAGGAAGTCCCCCAGCAGGAGAGGAGAAGCACAGGCATCTCTGCGTGATGCAAGGGGACAGCTTGGCGTGAGAGGAAGAACCGGACTGGTTTTGGGACACCGAAGGGTGAATTCTGTCTGCCGAGCTAAACATAATGTGTGCGGTTGCCCTCTGCTTTTCAGGATGCTCTTGGTGGACATGAGGGCCGTGGTGACTCTTGATGAGTGAAGTCCTTACTTCGTTTGTCTTGTCACCACTGTCTGCTTGCAGCCTGTTGGCTTCACAGAGAAGGGATTGGGTGGTAGCCCCGCCTACCAGGTGAGGCTGGGCCCCACTGTGGGTGCACAGGGGCCCCACTGTGGGTACATGGATGCCCCCCCGACCTTAGTTCCCGGAGTTCAGGGTCAGTCTGGGGAAGTCCTTAGGACCTGTCAGATCTCTCCTCAGCATTTCGCACATTGCTGACTTACTGCCAAGCGGATTTTTCTTCTGATTAGCTGCAAAGTGAGATGTCTGAACAAGGAGTGCCCCTGAGACGGGCTTGCTGAGTTGCTAAGTTGCTCCAGCTGGACCTGAATGAGTGATCTTCCTGCCTCGGCCTCCCAGACAACTGGGGTTACAGGCGTGTTCCACCATCCCCAGCTCTAAAATCTTTGATTCTAAAAACAAAAGGCAGTTCTTAGTTTAAGATTAATTTTAAGAAATCTACTTTAATAGGCTTTTGGAGTTTATTTAAATTTAACCCATTACACTAATGTATTATTGTAATGCAGATGAATATGTTATTCAAGGCTGAGGGCTTAGTCTTGAGTAATTGACAAAACTTTCTACTGAGACTCATTGTCTATGTGGGTTTGGGTATTTTATGGAAAAAGAAGACTTTATCTAAAAAGCTACATAAAAAAGTAAGAAAAAATGCCTTGGTAATGTAGGACATAGAGCGGTATTTTCTTACTCATGAATTAGAGGTTTAGGATTTAGGCTTTGGAGGGAAGTACTTGTCACCCATTTCCTGTTGTCAGCTATCCAGCAGTGAGCTTGTCCTAGCAAACGGTGTGGCACTGCCATCTAGTGGCCGCGGGAGCGCTGTGCTAGCAGCAGGACGCTGAGACTTGGGCGGCTGTAAAGAGCCTCTCCCACCCGGACCTGGTCCTTGTCCCGTGCCTTTGACTTCTCAGTTGTCTTCATGTGAGAAGCTAGTTTTAACAGTACAGCTTTGTCACTTATTATCATATGAAAGGAAATTTGAATGTATTTTATTGAAAATGATAAGTTTTGATAAGCATTGATAAGTACTTTACTAATTGATAAACTTGGAAGTGCTGGGGATTTAGCTCAGTGGTTCTGCCGCCTGCCTTGCAAGTGCAAGGACCCGAGTTTGATCCCCAGTACCAAAAAATATATATAAACTTCGGTAAGAAAGTTTACAGCAGCCAGCCTTTCCTTGTGCCCTCTGATGAGACTTTCCGTCTCCTTCCAGGTATCTGTCTGACCTTCATGCCGCCGGCGACCCCGCGTGGCAGTGCATCGGAGCCCAGCACAAGTGGATCCTCCAGCTCATGCACAGCTGCAAGGAGGGCTATGTGAAGGACCTGAAAGGCAAGCTCTCCCTCGCCCCGGGTTCTGTGCTCTTGTTCCTGCCCTGGAGTGCAGGGTGGGGCAGGGTAGGGTGTGCGCACCTCCCCAGCTGTCGTTGTTGGTCCCCTACCACTGCCGTGTACCCACAGGGAGCACAGCGTGGTAGGTGGGAGGGGCAGCATCTGACAGGATCGAGGATCGTTTCAAGGCGGCTGGATGCCACAGCAGTGCTCTTGCTCATCTTGTATGTGGTTTCCTCACCACTGGGCACTAGACCGACAGCAGCACTGCTGCATGGGGTCCCTGGAGGGGAAGGGAAAGGCTCAAAATACGGAACGAACCAAAGAACGCTGAGAGGACCTGGGCCTGGTGTCTGTGGGAGCCGCTGTGGAGGTCGCCGCCTGGGTTGGGAGGGTGTCTGGGAGACTGCAGCTGCATTTCCCCAGTGGGAGATGGGTCCCGCTGCTGGCACCAGAGCCTGGAAAAGTTAAAGCTGCTTTTACTTGCAGACTTTTGTTAGGAAAATCCCAGCTTCTAGCAAATACTGAATGGATTGACCCCAACAAAGAAGGGTGGACAGGTGCGGGCTCCACACTGACTGGAGGTGGCTGGAATCTACTTCAGGGGAACAGACTCTGAAGGAATTTTGAGGTCAGGTGGTGGCATTCCAGCTCTAAAGGGAGTAATGTCTGTTTTGAGGTTGGAAGAGGGGTGGCCTTGGTGGCGGGGAGGAGAGCATAGAGTCCCAAAACCCACAGGGGTGGTTTCTAAGATGAAGCAGAAGGTCAGAGCAGTGTCCTCAGGGCCTAGCAAGGGCTACCATGGTGTTTGAGCTCCTGAGGGGTGAGGTATGACCAGGAGGTGTGGAGCTGACCTGTCCCAGCATGGGAAGCTGTTTCTGCTAGAGTTGCTGCTGTTCATGTGTAAAGTAGTTTTGTCACGTTTTAGTTGGCCAGTATTTGAGTGCTTCGCGTTCTCATTCTGTTCTTTTCAATCTTTGATATTTCAGGAAATCTGTGTCTCTAACAGTGCATGTCAAAATTCCTGCTAGTGTCATTAATTATTTTGTATTTGTAGCAAGGGGAAATCTCCAGCAAATGACATAGTAGTCCTTAGTCTGCAGAGTGCCTCAGAATGCCTTGGCATACTACTTTCCCTGTGACTGAGGTCTGCTTCCTTGTCAGGCTGCCATGCAGTAGTTGCTACCCTGTGCTGCCCCTCAGAATCCCCAGGATGTGTCTCCCTCCTGCCTGCTCCAGGCCTCGCCCTCCATCCCTGTTCTTCTTTGAAGGTGGCGCCCAGGAGCCTGTGGTTTCCAGGCTGTGGGGAGCCTGGTGCAGTGTGGGTAGACAGTCGGTGTGCTGTGCTGTGCTCAGGGCTGGAGATGTGAGGAGCAAGGTCTCGTGCGTGTGTCATTGCAGTCCTGCAGGGGTGGCGGAGTGGGGTGTGCAGTTGTATGAAGTTGTGCCTCAGACACATGGCAGGTTGGGAGTGCAGGGTGTTTCCTCGCGGAGGGGATGTGGCAGCTGAACTCAGACGGTAACTCTCAGTGTTCCAGACTTGGTGGAGAAGCGGACCAGAAGCCTCGGAAGAGGTGGCAGATCAGTGACTGTGCGTGCTGCATCCGCACAGACTGTTCACCTACTTCTGTGTACCAGAAACAGTCTGAGTCATTGGTGTGAAAATACTTGAGTTTCTGGGATGTGTGTTTTATATGAAAACAGCAAATGGACTTTTTAATTTTAATTTTATTCTTTTACTTTTTGGTTTTCTAAGACAGGATCTTCTAGTAGTGTAGGCTGGCTTTGAACTTGGTACATAGCCTAGATTGGTCTCAAGCTCACAATGCTCCTGCCTTGGCCTCCTGAGTGCTAGGACTATAGGCATGCACCACCTCACCTAGTTGGATTTTTTCGGATGAAAAGTCCCAGAAAATTTTAAGAATCATTGTCACATCTATACCTGAAATGTCAAGAACCCATTTTCTGTCTCAGAAGATCTGAGTCTCTCAAAGCTTCAGGGCACTCACCTTGTCTGATTGATTCCTCCGCTGTCAGTTTGATGTTAAGTGCTGCTATAGTATTTATCTCTAAGCGCAGCATTTCTAGGGGAAAAACAATAGCAAAAGCTTGTGTGGAACAAGAGCCACTTTTTAAATTCTCTGGACCAGATGTAGCTCAGTGGCAGAGCTGGCCTAGCGTGCATAAGGCCCCAGGCTCAACCCCCAGTCCTGCAAAACAAAAAAACATGTAAAAGTGTTCACCGAAATACCATGAAGTACACCTGAAATACAGTCAGCAATTTCTTAATATCAAACACTCAGTTCACAGGTGCAGAAGCATTGAGCTTCTCTACAGTCTTTTCAAGTACCCACACTGCATGGCTTTTGAGTGGGGGTACTGGGGATCGAACTCAAACTCCGGTCTTGCACTTGTGAAGCAGGCGGCCAAACCACTGAGCCAAATCCCCAGCCCCTGGCTGTGTGGCTTTTTAAAGGCAAATGAGAACGGAGCTGCAGATGTAGGCTACACAAATGTTTCCTCCAGGAATAAGAAGCAGCACCTGGTGAAACACACTCCCCTGTGGCCAGCATGCTCTTAGATGCGCTGTCACCATTAGTGTGCATGTGTGTCGCAGGGCCGTTGTGTCTTCAGTGCACACTTCCTCTGTCTATACAGGCAATACGTTCTGTGTGGTGCACGCCTATGAGTGTGTGGGCATGCCTTTATAAAGTCCTTGCCTGCACTGTACATGTGCTGGGGATAAGCGCAGTTTTTCTTTCATGCAGTATAATACTGTTGATGATAGACTCTTAATGCAGATTTTGTGATTGTCTTAATTGTACGTAGTATAATTGTAAGAGAATGTGGAGAAAGGTTCACTGTTACATGGATTTTCTGCTGGAGATCCTCTCATAACTGATAGATTTGGGAGAAATCTAAACCTAGAAAATTGTCTACTTCAGTACCTTGGATCCATTTCACGTGTGCTGAAGGTATCTCAGAAACACCAGGTGAGAGGCCCGTGTTCTCTGTTCCCCAGACAAGGGAAGAGCTACCGTGGGTCCTGACGCCTCCCCATCCTACCAAGGCTGTGCCCTCCATCCCAGCCAGTGGCTCAGGACAGCGGTGCTCACAGCCCCTTGCTGTGTTATGTAGTTGGAACAAATATTTGATCAGAGAGCGTTTCTGGTTTCTACAGGGAGTCTATAGTGAATGGCCCTTTCCCTAAGGCAGCTTGTGAGGAGCTGTGCCTGCACCCGGGACAGGCGGGTGAGCGCCTGTAGTTTGTTACTGCTGAGAGTAGTTTGCCTCTCTAGGTGAATTCTTTGGAGGGAATTCTGGGTAGACTAGTGGTCTCTGGAACTTATATTCAGTGTAAAGATGTGCTCCGAGAGGTGCAGGTGAGGAAATGGAGGTGAAGGAGAAAGCACTCCATGCCCAGGAGGCAATCCGGCAGTGCTGAGGGTGTGTCTTTGGGGAAGACTTGCTGTCCTGCCAGAGCTGCAGGCTCTCAGGGACGGTCACACTTGGTGCCCCTTTTGTGTTGGTCCAGCCCCTGCTGGGGGACAGGGTGCTGACCTGTGTGCTTGGGGGTGCCGTGCCTGCTGCTCAGAGGGCGTGAACCTATGCAGAGGCTGTGGGTACTCAAAAAATTGCTTAGAAACCACTTGACTGCCAAAAACAGGCCCTGCACTTAAGTAGTGCTTTGTCATGAAGCAACATTGATTTTCTTAGAGCTCGCTGACTTCTACATTTAAGAAAGAAATTTAAGTTCTCCTGTTGTAGTACCTGTACTTGGACTCAGCACAGGAGAAGAGAAATGGCCATGATTAAATCCACGGGCAGGGTAATGGTTAAGAACTAAGTTTTTGAAGTAAAACCCAGTTTTAAATAAACACCATAAATATTTCCTGCATGAAAATAATTCTTGATGTCTTTTTAAGTAAAGTTAGTCTATGCATGAATCTAATAACTTCTAGTTAACATAAATATTTTAAAAGTCTTTGATGGTAGTTTGGGGGAAACGTTAATTACATATATTCTTGTCGTCTTCAGAGAAAATTTTATGAGCAGAGAAGGTGATGACTTTTCGGAGGCGGAAGTCTGATGTACAAAGCTGCCTCTTTCCAAGGAACCCCCTCGCACAGATGGGGAGTTTGGCAGCAGGGTGGTAAGGTGGGTATTCCCACACGGACTGCATTAGAACTTCTCCGGATCCCAGTTGTTACAGTAATAATATACAGCCAGCCTCGCAGATGTGCTCCTTAGGTTACACCCCGAGGATACAGAGTGGAGGTGGCCCCGCACCTGCCACACACCTGGCCAGTGTCCCCCACCCCCCAACACTGCCGCTCCTCCTCCAGGCCTGACACTGCTGCCCAGACAGAGGACACAGATACAGGCTAAGGGGAACATGTCAGAAACCCATTCTGAAGCTTAAATATTGACGGCAGTTTGACTCTGCTTTTCCAGTCTAAACTGGTAGCCCTTTTCCTTCTGGTTTCCTGTATTTTACGTTAAACTTTTACCATCTTTTAAGAGGTCATTTGGCTCTTGAAATTCCTGTGAAACAGATCCAGAATTAGTGTAAGTCTTTAGGTTTCCTGCCAGGAAGGGCCTTTGGTTAACCCCCTGCTGATATTCTCAAACAAGATTTTTAAAGGTGGCCTTCAAAGGTGTGAGGTCCTTTGTTCTCAGAGTGAGTTTAACTCTTAAGATAAATGCTGGCCATGCTAAATAACTTGAGAAAAGTCATCAGTCTGCTTGCAGAATAATTATCCACTTCTTTCAGATACATCTTTAATTAGAGCTTATGAAAAGGGCCCTTTGGAATTGAGGCTCAGTGAGAGACACTCAGGGTAAGTGGTAGTTCCAGCAGTAGATTCCTTTTTGTCTCTGTGATAGAGGGGCTCTCCTTGTCAGCTCCTGCTGTCCTTAAATGTACCTCTGTAGTAGCTGGGACACTTGACTGGGCCTGGCCAATGAGTTCTTAAAAATACTCACACACCAAAAGGAAAT